ATTCTGTGTTGTACAACATGTGGGTTTTGGCAAATGTATAATAACGTGGACCCATCTTTTCTGTATCATGGAGTGTAGTTTCGCTTCCCTGAAACTCCCATGTGCTCCGCCTGTTGAGTCATCCCTCCCTCCAACCTCCAAACCCTTCACAACCAAAGGTCTTTCTACTGGCTCATGCTTTTGTCTTTTCCAGAATGTCATATACTTGGAATCATACACTGCATAGCCTTGTCACATTGGCTTCTTTCCCTTAGCAGTATGCTTTTAAGGTGCCTCCATGTGTTTTCATGGCTTGATACCTCATTTCTTTTATCACTGAACAGTATTTCATTGTATGGAGGCACCACTCATTCTCTATTCAACACTTGAAGGACATCTTGTTTAAAATTCTCTCTCTTGCCAATTATGAATAAAGTACCTATAAACACTCATATGTCAGTTTTGTGTGAACATAAAGTTTCAACTTATTTGGAAGAATACCAAGGAACCATACTGCTGGATCTTACTCTCTGTACCAGCAATGTATTTTGTTTTGAGAGAAACCCCCCGTTTTCCGCTGTGGCATACGAAATTCCATTTCCATTTCCACCAGCAATGAATGAGGATTACCTGTAGCTTTGCATCTTTACCAATATTTGGTGTTGTGAGTGTTTTGAGTTTTAACCCATTTAATAAGATTTTAATGATACCTCGTTGTTTTATTTGCAATTTCCCAATGACATTTGAAGAGGAGCATGTTTTCATATTGCTTTCTTCCCATCTATGTATGGTCTTCGGTGAGCTGTCTGATCAGATTTTTTTCCCTGTTTTTAAATTGGGTTGTTTGTCTTCTGAGTGTTGAATTTTAAGAGTTCTTTGGACATTTCAAATACCACTCATTTTTCTGATGTTTTACGAAGATTTTCTCTTATTCTGTAAATTATGTTTTTATTCTCTTAACACTCTTTCTCAGAGCAGGAGTTTTTCATTTTAATGAAGTAAATTTTTTGTTTTTTTCTTTTGTGGACCTTCCTTTTTGATTTTGTATCTAAAAAGTCATCTCCAAACCCAGTGTCATCTAGATTTTCTCCGCTGTTATCTTCCAGGAGTGTATTCCTTTGGCATTTTACATTTAGATCTGTGATGAGTTTTGACTTAATTTTTGTGAAAGATGTAAGGCCTGTGTCTACATTTGTTGTGTGTGTTTGTATGTGGATATCCATTTCCACCACCGTCTGTTTAGAAGACTTTCTTTTCCATTTGAATTGCCTTCCCTTCTTTGTCAAAGATCGGTTGACTCTATTTGTGTGTGTCTCTAAGGAAATGAATTCACTCACATATCCTTCAACCTTGCTATACGCTCATTAATTCCAGGATGTGTTGTAAATTCTTTCAGAGGTTTCACAGAGACAATCATGCCATATGGATCAGATGTTATACATTTAGCTACAGGGTTCATAAAGATGTTGTTTCTTAAGTAGAAGTTCCCTGCTATTAGTTGTTTTTTTATCATAAGTGGATGTTGTATTTTATCAAATCCTTTTTTTATTTTCATTTTCCCCTCCTTTCCTTTCTGATATTAGTGATTTCCATCTTCCCTTTTTTCTTTATCTTGACTAGAGGCTTATCAATTTTATTAGTCTGTCAAAAAAACAGGCTTTTTTTGTTTTAATTTTCTCTGGTGATTTCCACAATGATATTAATTTATTTTCTAATTTTTATTATTTCTTTTTTGTGGTTACTTTGGGTTTAATTTGCTGTTGATTTTCTTGTTTCCTAAGGTAGATGTTTACATTATTGTTTATGGATCTTTGGTTTTCCAGTATATTTGTTCCATGACATAAATTTCCCCCTAGGCACTGTTTTTGCTGCATCCAGGAACCTTTGGTATGTTGTGTTTTGATTTCATTTTGTTCAAAATGAGGTTTTATTTTTCTTGAGACTTCTTTGTTGATCCTATGTATTATTTAGTAGTGTGCTGTTGAATCTCCACATATATGGGGTTTTTCCAGCTATCGTGTTGTTATTGAGTTCTAGATGAATGTCTAGGTGGTGTGAGAGCATATTTTGTATGATTTCTGTTCTTTCTGATTTGTTAAGGTGTGCTTTATATCCCACAGTGTGGTTTATCTTGCTGAATCTTCCACATGAACTTGAGAAAAGTGTATATTCTGCTGTTGTGTGTGAGTATTCCATAGATTACAATGAAATTCAGTTGTTCCACAGTGCTGTTCAGGTCACCTCTGTCTTCCTCTTTTCCTGCCTCCTGGAATTTATAATCCGTGATCAGAAGGTGTTGAGTTCTACATCTATACTACTGGATTCATCTATTTCTCCTTGTATTCTATCAGTTCTTGCCTCATGTGTTTTGCCCCTCTCTTGTTATGCATGTACACACTAAGGGTTGCTGTGCCTTCCGGGAGAATAGACCCCTCTATCTACTGATAGATGCCTCTCTCCATCTCTGAATTTTCCTTGGTTTGGAATCCACATCGTCTATAATTTGTATACCCAGGGCAGATTTCTTTTGATCAGCATTGGTATGGTATAATTTTCTCCATCCCTTTACCTTTCATCTATCTATGTCTTTATTTTTAAGTGGGGTTTCTTGTAGACAAGATATGATTGTGGTTTTTGAAATCTGATGTTACTGTATGTTTCAGTTGTATTGAGACTATTGATGACTAAAATTGTTATTGATATAGCTGGATTAATATTTACCCAATTTTTTAGTGTTTTCTATTTTTTGCCCTTGATTTTTGTTTCTTTTTGTCTTCCATCTTTTTTCTACCTTCTCCTGTTGAAATTGAGCATTTTCTCTGATTGTTTTTTTCTCCTCTTTTAACATATCACTTACACATTTTAGAAAGGAATTTTTTGATGATTGCCCTTGAGTATTCAGCATACATTTATAAGTAACCCACCTTCTCTCCCAAATAACAGTATACCACTTCTCTGTGTGCAAGTACCTCATAACACATTCTTCCCAATTTCCCCATCCATGTCCCTTGTCACATTGCTATCATTTATATCACTTGTACATAAGGTTCGCATTACCAAATATATTGTTGCTAATATTATTTTAAAGTCATCTGTTACATTAATTATAAGAAATATAAATGATATTTTACTTTAATTTTTTCTTTTTCTAATCCTCTACCTTTATTATTTACATTCTTTCTAAGTTTTTGAAAATTTCATTCAATGTAGGTGTACTCATGACAAATTTCCTCAATTTTTGTCTCAGAAAATCCTTATTTCTCCTTTGTTTTTGAAGGATAATTTTGCTTGACAGAGAATTCTAGGAGACTTTTTTTTATTTTCAAAACTTTAAATATTTCACTCTACCCTGTTCTTGCCTGCATGGTTTTTGAAGAACTCCAATTTATTTCAAATCTGTTTCTTTATACGTAAAGTGTGTTTCTTCTCTGGTGTTTCTCAATACATTCTCGGTCTTTAATTTTTCTCTATTTTGAATATGATATTCTTGGTCATGCCCTTTTGTAATTTATCATGTTTAGTGTCCTCTGAGCTTCCTGGATGTGCAGTTACCAGCTCTCATTAATTTTAGGATATTTTGGTGATTAATACTTCACTTCTTTCTTCTGTTTCTTTCTGTCTTCCTTTTACTTCAGATATTCGCATTATGTATATTTGAAACTTTCTGTTAAAGAGAGTTGTCATAAATTTCATGGAAATTGTCTTCTTTTTGTTCTTGCATTGGACTCTCGTTGAAATAGGTTTTATGTTTAGTACAGGCCTTGATGAAAACAGAATATCTGAGACATATTCCAAAATGCCATTTTTTTCCTTTTCCCTAATTTTGGAGACACTGGTTTGCCCTAGGACCTGAAGCCTCTCATGCATCTAAGAAGAGTTGTTTATTTCTAGTTTGTTCATTTTTCTTCTCGTGAGATCAAGAATGAGAGCTTCTAAGTTCCTTAAGTGCAGGATCAGAAGTTGGCAGGGCGTCATCTAGAGTGGCTGGATGGGAAACACTTCCTCTTGAAGTTCAGGAATGGAGATTCTTTTTTTGGAGGAAAACACTAATCAATCCTTCACATTTTTTATAATCATGGGCAAATTGACCATCAAAGCTTTGTGGACGTCAGTGAACTCCCATGCAATCTGCAGCTCTTAACCTGTTCCTCAAGGGCAGCAAGGCCCAGGGTACATTGTTAGCAACTGACTGGAAAGAGCTCTTATGGCACATTATTATCTCACTATGTGTTCTAAAAATTGGTTCGAAGTAGCCTTGAGGCACATGAGTATAGAGATCTTATGGTCTAAGTTGTCATGCCTTCTTCCTTGTTTCTGAGCTCTAAGTTCCAAATAATGTTCTAGCCCCGTCTAATCATGTAGAGAAAAGAACTGAGTCTATGATAAATTTTACTCAAATTAAAAGTGATACTTCCCCACAAGAATATTTACATTCAGCCAGCTGCATCTGCTTACTTACTTGTAATGATTTCCTGGAGTACTTAAAACAATGTGGCCAGCTGTGCTTTGTTAAAAGTTTGATTTCTACAGGTCTCCTGGACTTTCCGTTTGGTGATGGGAGTAGACAAAAAAGCTTCCACTTCTTCACTATGTCATTATCCATTGAAATCTCATGCACATTTTATCCTCTGCCTTATGAAGTGCTGTAACTTGTGGGTAAGAAGGAAGAAGATGAAGGAATTTTTCTCATAAGGAATCATTAGTCTTAAAATGATACTTGTTTCATCTGTATGACATTTCTGTCATTTCCCAAGATACTCTGGACCCTGCTGTTACAGAGAAATATGATGTAATGTGATAACAGTAAAAATGTGTAAATAATTTCCATTTTGTGGTGTTGAGGATGCTGTTAAATTGATAAGGAAGTATGTACAGAAAAGCAGTGAGTTTTTGATGATCACAAAATAGAATAAATATTTAGCGATGACAGAATCATACGTAACCTTCCTACAAATGGAATATAGATCTCCAGTGCTGTCAGTCTTATTCATCCTGCTCTGCACGTATTTCTGATATTTTAGGACTCAGTAGCCATTGAGGATGTGGCTGTGAGCTTCACCCCAGAGGAGTGGGCTTTACTGGATTCTTCACAGAAGAAACTCTACAGAGAAGTGATGTGGGAAACCTTCAAGAACCTTGAATCAATAGGTAAGAATGAGGATATTTCTTCACTTTGTCAATTAGAAAACAAGTGTTTCTCACCCATCAACATTGTTTGAAGATGTAGAATGTGGAAAGGAGGGGATGTTGGTAAATAAATTAGAAATGGTCATGGCTCATTATGGACTTAGAATCTGCGAATTTTTCTATCATTACTAATATCTTTGGTGTCACCTTTTCAGTCTGCATTTCAGGACGAACAAGGGAAATTCTTCGTATTGAAGATCAGTACAAAAACCAGGAGAGAAAGCTAAGGTAAGTCACACTCACAATAGAAAGCAGTGTCTCAGGTGAGAATCCTGGTAAGTATGAAATTTTAGAAAGAAAGAAAGAAAACAAATAACCTTTGCTTCAGGTTTAGCTATTCTTAGAAAATGTTCATAAAACATACCTTCTGAAATGTAATATAGAGGTTCAGCTTTTAGAAAATAATTCACTTGGACAAAGTATTAATAAACCCTATATAGGAATATCACTGTTTGGATAATAGGAAGGGTGAAGGCCTCTTGCAAAGCATTCAGTGTATTCAATTTCAAAGAATTCAGATAAGACGGAAAACCTAAACTTTTCCTATAAATCATAATAAATATAACAAATATAATAACATTATAAAGAAATCATTAATAATTTGCTCCTCATTTTTACAGAAATCACATGGTAGAGAGAGACTGTGAAAGTGAAGAGGGCGGTGAATGTGGAGAAAACTTCAGCCGTATTCCAAATCTCAATCTGAACAAGAAAACTACTGCAGCAAAACCATGCAAATGCAGTGCATGTGGAAAAGTCTTCGGGCATCATTCATCCCTTAGTAGGCATGTTAGATGTCACACTGAACACACACATGACTATCAAAAATATGGAGAGAAGCCATATAAATGTAAGGAATGTGGGAAAGCCTTCACTTTTCCCAGTGTTCTTCAAAGACATGAAAGAACTCATACTGGAGAGAAACCTTATGAATGTAAAAAATGCAGTAAAGCCTTCAGTAGATTCAGTTCTCTTCAAAGACATGAAGGAACTCATACTGGAGAGAAACACTATGAATGTAAAAAATGCAGTAAAGCCTTCAGGTCTTCCAGTTATCTTCAAATACATGAAAGAATTCATACTGGAGAGAAACCCTACGTATGTAAAGAATGTGGGAAAGCCTTTACATCTCTTTCAAGTCTTCAGTCACACATGATCTTTCACACTGGAGATGGACCTTATAAATGTAAGGAATGTGAGAAAGTATTCATTTCTCCCAGTGCGTTGCAAAAACATGAAAAGAGGCACACTGGAGAGAAACCCTATGAATGTAAAGAATGTAGGAAAGCCTTCAGTTCTGTTAAAGGTTTCCAAATACATGAAAGAAATCATACTGGAGAGAAACCATATGAATGTAAAAAATGTAGTAAAGCATTTAGTTGTCTTAGTACTCTTCAAACACATGAGAGACACCACACTGGAGAGAAACCCTTTGAATGTAAGGAATGTGGGAAAGCCTTTATTGCTCTCACAAACCTTCGATTACACATGGTCACTCACACTGGAGATGGACCTTATAAATGCAAGAAATGTGAGAAAGTATTCATTTATCCCAGTTCATTCCGAATACATGAAAGAAGTCACACTGGAGAGAAACCCTATGAATGTAAAGAATGTGGGAAAGCCTTCAGTTTGTACACTAACTTAAAAATACACCAAAGAACTCACACAGAGAGAACATCCCATGTATGTAAGGAATGTGGTAAGGCTTTTATTTCTCTTCAAGCTCTCCAAATACATGAAAGAAATCACACTGGGGAGAAACCCTATGAATGCAAACAATGCAGTAAGGCGTTCAGTAGACTCAGTTCTCTTCGAAGACATGAAGGAACTCATCCTGGAGACAAACCCTATGAATGTAAAAAATGCAGTAAAGCCTTCACTTCCTCCAGGTCTCTTCAAATACATGAAAGAATTCATACTGGAGAGAAACCCTATAAATGTAAGGAATGTGGGAGAATCTTTACTGCTCCCTCAAGTCTTCGATCACACATGATCTTTCACACTGGAGATGGACCTTATAATTGTAAGGAATGTGAGAAAGCATTCATTTCTCCCAGATCATTTCAAAGACATGAAAGAACTCACTCTGGAGAGAAACCCTATAAATGTAAAAAATGCAATAAAGCATTCACTTCTTCCAGTTCTCTTCAACTACATGAAAGAACTCATACTGGAGAGAAACCCTGTGAATGTCAGGAAAATCTGAAAGCCTTTATTTCTCATGAAAACTTTTGAGGATATGCAAGAATGACACTAGAGGAAAAACCATATAAATGTAAAGAATGTAGGAAAGCCTTTTGTCATCTGAGTTCTTTCTGAGGGATGGAAGGGTTCACTTGACAAAAACCTCTTGAATGTAGATACCATGGGAAAGATTTCAGTTGGCCGACATCCTTCTATGTGAAATCCCCACCAAAAAGAAATATAAATGTAAGTCATGTGAGAAAGCTTGATGGAAATTAATTTGTATAATATTCTAGAAAACTTTCAACATGAAAGAGTTGTTATAAAAGTTGTAAATATATTGTGCTTAGCAAGCCTCTTAAACTGCAACAATGGATTCTAGATTTCTACTAATTACTTTCAGAAATGAATATTGAGGTGAGATAATTTTGCAAGTCATCTTTCATCTTAGAGTACTTTTTCCTTAAATCAGTTAATAATATTTTCTCTTTAATTTTTTTAATAATGTTTTAATTGTTCTGTGTTAAGGGACCATTGAAAAATGATAGTTTCTGTTTGTTGGAATTTTCTTACTGGCTTTGCATTGCCATCCTGGAAATGCCTAATCCATTGTATATATTGTTCCTTTCTTGGAGAAAGGTCCTGTTTTGGGGTGGTGGGTATAGCTGCCTTCTTTTGTTTTCTGTACTGTTCAACAGTTGGAATAAATTTTTATGTATGGCAAGTTTATCAGAGCATACTTTCCTGTGAAGTATTATTTTCATATTTGGGTTCAGTAAAACCATGGAGTTGTTCCCATTTAGAGAAGTACGTGCCTTCATCTGCACTGTTCTAGCTCATCCTGAGTGTATTCTGTAGGTAGAGTGACATCTATGTGAGTGCACTGTGATCTCCCAGTGGAAACACCACAAAGAGCTATGGGTGTTTAGAGGGAATTTTCTAAGGAATAATTGAGGTGAGCTCCAGAAAGAGGGTATCAATTTGAGTAACATCCTGATTGAGTACAAAAGGAAAAATAGGAAACTCCAAACATCTTTTCATCACAGGAGTCCCTGGAAGTCTCTTGTGTCAATGATCCACAAAGCCCTGGAGCCCCTTTAGCTGTTCGCAGGTTTCATTTCCATATGCTTAGACATCCAGCACATGTTATGGAAAAGTGGGAAACAGCAGTAACAGATTCCAGGTTTAAAACTGCAAAGGAAATGGAATGTATTCCATTTTTTTAGTGTTAACTTACGTATTGGAGGGGTGCCATTCAAATGGGCACCACAGGAGTGTTCTTTTGGAGTGAAGGTATGGTTTTCATCTTTTGATGGTAGTATACATTTGTGAAAGCTCATGAGAGCTCTTCAACTATTTTATATGTTTAAATATATGTTAAATACATAATTATTAGAAAACGAATAACATACTTGCTTTCATATGCTAGAAGATTGTTAAGCTCTTTTGAGCCTTGGTTTTTATATGTTCAACTCTTCTTTCTACTACTGTGGGATCCTTCTTAGGAAGAATTGAAGGACTGGGCAAGAAGGAGTCAGTCCTCAACAGGCCTTTCTTGCAACCCTGTCTTAATTGAAAAAACAACCTCTAGGGTTGCACCTGCCCTCAGCTCATACTCATAACCAAGAACGAAGTGACAAGGCTCCCAGAATCTGTCCTTGAGTTCAAAACAGCTTCTGTGGACAGATCTTGAGAAATACTATGGTTGTAAAACATGAAAGTGTATCTGAAGCGGGATCTGCCTGGGGACATCCCTATTCTTGTGCATCAGCATCATTTCATTGCCATCCAAAAACTCTTTCCAGCTGTTCGTTTCCCAACTCAAACCTACTCTCTGCCCGTTGACTTGGAAACATCTTTCGAAATCAACACATGACCCCCTGGAAGATTTCTCTAAGGCAACTCAAGGGGGCTCTGTGCTGAGTGGGTGACAGAAGCAGTGGTAGAACCCATGATGTGAGCACATTCTGTCAGCCACAATGACCACAGACATCCCATATTTATCAGAGATCTTGCTTACTTATTCATACAACACTTAGAAATTGACTGTCTTTGAATTGGGCAACAAACAGCTGTAGAAGTTTTCAAAATGACAGTCCCTATGTCAGCACCGCCCTTGACACATCCCTTTACCGTAAAGGTTTTAGCAGCCTTCCAGTGTGCATTAAAGAGGCTCTAAACCTCTCACAGTGGACATAAATTGCCCAAGGCATTCTTGTGCCAAAGGTATTCTCATCCATTGCTGCACACAATTAGGGAAACCACTAATGGCAACTGACATAGTCTCTTGTAAATGGAGGCTGTCCCAGGGCCTGAGCTGATGGTCTTCCACAGGCCACTTCTCATTGTGCCTTGGATCAGGAATGCAGAAGCCCTCAGGCTTCTTAATCAGAGGCTTTTTCATTGAAGAGAGTTGGATACCTACAGGATAGAGCCAAAGATGGTGCTTCTGGAATATCCTACTTAGAAAAGTAGAAAGTGCGTTCTGCTCTTTATTTGACATAATCCGTGTGAAGGAGGTCACTCCCTTTTCAGGCACAATGGCCACTCAGATAGTCACTTGGGGGCACAGGAGTAACCAGGGTGTTCATTTCCTTTATAGACAGTGTGCTGCCACCACACGTGATGGCATCCAGTGTAGAGATGCTGCATTCTTCTCCTAGATCAAACAGGCCATCTTTGATCAAAGATTGGACCCAAGCATCAGGTAAATTAGTCAAACTCCAGACAGTCATGCTAAAAATAGAAAAGTCCTTGGCCGAGAATTGAACTTATGTGCACATTTTTACAGATCCTTTGGAAATTGCCAATAATCTAGCTGTCTCGTCCCATCACTAACAACATCTTATTTATGGTCACATAAAGGATTCTGGGAATATCTTGCCTCATGATAGCCAAGTACAAATCATTCACTCTACTCTGCACATTTAAACCTCAATCTGCAGAGGCTCATGTCATTGCTCAGGGTGATAAATTGACCCAAATTTCTGAGACACAGACTGACACCTCAGACCTGATGGTATTGACGTTGACCCTCTGATCCCACAGAATATGAAACCACTTGGACGTTTCTAAGCTAAAAGCTTAGGCAGAATTCAAGGGACTTCCCTCCTTTGCCATAGCTACCTTCGTGACTGACCAAAGCAGCTAATGTGAAAAAACAAGTCACTGGTAATACAATCAAGTGACATACCTTGCAGGCCAAGGAGGGGATCCCTACAACTGATGGTGAATAGACATTGTAGGGACCCTTACCCTCTGTGCTGGCGCACTCGTTATGCAGAGACCATGGTAGAAACTTATATAGAAAAATTACTCATGCTATCATATAGAAACTCCTGAAACCAAAATGCACAGACTGATCAAGAGAGTCTAGAAGTTATCGATCATATCAACTCATTTATCAACATACAAAACACTGGGCTCCTGAAAAAGGTATTCAATGAACCTCATACCTCTCTTACAACCCTGGGCCCCTCTCATAAGCTGGCCTAATAGGTCACTTAGGCGGCCTTGCTTTCTTCTAAATAGATCTTCCTGCTGTTTGAGTCATTAGTTAGATTAATCCCCAGTCTTTAGGATCTATTACTTGGTCCTGATCATCAGACTTACTGGCACCTGTAAGTACAGCCTTTCTATATTAGACATCTCTGTCAGAATGGTCACTCCTACGGGTCTTTGGTTTACTGTAATAGTGCCCCCTAGCCACCACTCTTATATTCCACTCCTGGGTCTTCCTCCTAACATCACCTGTAGTCTGTGTGCCCTGCGTGTCAGTATTTCATTTTGGTCATGCTCCCTCCAAACTCCTCAAGCCCATTGAACAGAAAGCTGCTGGTTTCCTAACATTTACACGCATGTGCACATTGTCCTGGGAGTCACTGGTACGGACCTGGGCACACCTGATGTCATTCAACATCATCATTACTACCAACAAAGAAATGTCCAGAACACTTAAAATACATGAAGCAAACAGCCAATGTTTGACATGTTTTCCCTGAAGGAAAACCCCCTGGCAGCCATGGTAGCTGCCGACTCCTTGGGTTTGGATTATTTATCAACCAGCCAGGGAGAGCTCTGTTCCCTAAAAGGGCTGCTCGCTGCATGTGGGCAGGCTATACCGGCAAGGTGCCACCAATAACACAACAAATGAGACACTACCTTAAAATAAACAATAACATTACCAGTATATTTGAACAGAGTTCTGAAGCAATATTGACACACTTTTCTGGGTCTCTCCAATACTTTGAAATGACTGGATTCAAATGTTTTTCTGAGGCTTTTTCATCTTGTTTACTTTCTTGTGTTTTTCACATGGCTTTTTAATTAATATTCAAATCAAATTCATTTAAATGAGTTGTGTCATTATTCAGTCAACAAACCTCAGGAGTCTAATAAAGACACTGACATCATCTTTGATATTTGCCTCTCAATCAGCCTTAGACACCTGCTCACCCTGCCTGGTCCACAATGGTGAACAAGTCAGGAAGGTTCACATGCCACTTTTCTTTGTGTCAGTGGGTAGGAGGGTAAAAACTCAAAGACCTGCAGCCTGTTCTCCTGCCTTAACGAACCAACCCAGTGTTTTTGTGCGAGCCACCTCAATCCACTTACTTTTGCAATATTTGCCTTTAAAAGTACCTGTGAATAATAAACATATTTCTATTCACTTGCTATATGCGGTGACTTAGTCTTGCCATCCAGTCCTATTTTAGGCGAGGTGTCAATCCTGCCCCCCAAAGGGCAATGATACAACAGAATGTAACCCATTGAAAATCTTTTGGTTGATACACAAGTATTCAGTGTAGGGAATTTTTATAAGATGAGGAAAAGGAATCCAAATGCAGAGATCCCTGTGTGATAATATTTTTACATGTATTGGACACAAAAGAAAAACTCTGAGGGGCCGGCTCCATGGCCGGGTGGTTGAGTTCACGTGCTCCGCTGCAGCGGCCCAGGGTTTGGATCCTGGGCGCGGACATGGCACCGCTCGTCAGGCCACGTTGAGGCGGCGTCCCACATCCCACAGCTGGAGGGACGTGCAACTAAGATATACAACTGTGTACAGGGGGTTTGGGGAGATAAAGCAGAAAAAAAAAAAGAAAAACTCTGAAACTGCCCACATGGCTCTAGCAGTGGAATTAATACATGAAAATGGTGTAGTCTCACAAGGGAAAATACAGGGCAACAGATGTGAATCGATAGTTTCTGTTCTGTTCTGCTGAGTGATGACGCTCATCTTCACAAAAATAAAAATACTAAACTCTGAAAAGGAACAACTCTTCTTAGATATACGAGACATTTGAGGTTACATGGCAAGCAATGCCTCCAAAATGAGAGGCAAACATAGAGAATCACTGGGTACTGGGAGGAGAAATAGCTGGAGTCAGCCACTCTCTACGGACACATAAACTAACAGATGAACTGCTGGAGACACAGTATGGATAATCTTAAGAGTGAAAAACTCTAGGAGGAGCCAGTCTTAGGGGGCCCTCAAAATTCATGAATGTTCCCTTCAGCAGCCCAACCCAGTTCTCATGGTGAAGATCAGGAGAAATTGCCTCCTGCTTCGTGCAGGACATGGAGGAAAACATCTTGATGTACACAAAAAGCTTTTTGTTGTCTGTAACATAGACCATCCCTCAGAGGAAACTAATGTGCAAAGTCTTCTCTGATTGGGAAAGTGCAAACAGACACCTACAGTCACTTCAGGTTCCTCTCTGAGCAAA